CACCAGGGCGCGCCGCTCGCCCTGGGCGCTGTGACGGACGGCCGCCAGCAGCCGCGAGCAGCCGGCGCGCTGGATTTCCTGGTCGAGCAGGGCCCTCCTCGCGGCGGGGATTTGGCGCGCGCCGCGCAGCAGGGCGTCGAACATGCCCAGAGCCAGCGAACCCCAGGCCCAGACGCGCACCTGAGGCCCCCCAACATCTCTTGGACGTGGCGCGCGCTGGCGCCTTCGTGCCTCTGCCGCGGGCGCACCAGAAGGCGGGTGCGCTCTGCAGCCGGGGCGATGGCCGCAGGTCTGCGCAGCGCGCGCGCGCGCGCCATCTGCAGCCGGTTCCGGCAGCGGCTGTCCGGCGGCGCAGGGTCTTGGCCCAGCAGCGCCGGTGCGGTGCCGAGGCAATTCTCGTCCCTCAGGCGCTGCCAGGGCACGTCGTTCGGCATTTGCCGGCCAGCAGAGCGGGGGCCGCCACGGGAGTGGAGGTCGCGCACGGCATTCGGGGCCCAGAAGATCTCAGCAAGGCGCTGCAGCTCCAGCGGTCTGGCCTGCGCGTGAGCAGTCTCCTCCCGACGTGCCCGGGCCAGCTCTTCACAGGGCGGCAGCAGTGCGGCCTCATCCCCGCCCGCAGCACCGGTGCAGCCCTGACAGCGCGGCCGGGCCTCCCGGCCAGCAGCGGTCGGCGGCAGGACGGCGGCGTCCAGGTCGGCAAGGTCACCCTCTCCCGCGTGCCTGCCGAGCTCTGCGCCCAAGGCCCTGCCCAGGCCGCGGGCCGCCCTTCCTGGCTCCGAGGGCCGCGCCGGCCGAGCCGCAGCGGCAGACTCGGCAGCGGTCGGCGGCGGCGGCGGCCTGCGCGCTCCACGCCAGGACGGCGCGCAGCAGGTGCACCAGCTTCCCCGTGCCGCGGTGCCGCAGGAGAAGCCCCGCCGCCGCCTGTTGCGCCTCCCAGGTCGGGCGAGGCACGCCCCACCAGCGCTTCCGCGCGCCCGCCACTTCAACCTTGCTGGCTGCACCGTCCATAGCTCTACGTCTGCACAGCAGGTTCGCGTCGTGTCGACGCGGCGGCGACCCCAGCCGCGGGCGTTCCAGGGTGAACGCCGCGAGTGGCCCGGAATCGGTCGGCATCGAACGATCTCGTGCGATCGAAATGCGGTGGTCGTTCAAGGTTGAACGACCTAATTACGCGGCGTCAAGAATCAACGCTCGAGTCGTCACGACCAGACTTGGCTGTATCCCCGTCCTCCTGACGAGGCTTCAACCGGTCGCTCGCCTGATCGCCGGGCGGATGGGAAAGACTTCCCTTTGCCCCGCCCATCGGGTCCCCCGCAGGGCCAGGAAGAGGAGGAGGCGGAGGCGGAGGAGGCGGAGGAGGAGGAGGAGGAGGAGGAGGAGGAGGAGGAGGGAGGAGGAGGAGGGCGGCGGAGGAGGAAGAGGAGGAGGAGGAGGAGGAGGTCGGGCCACGCGGCCTGGGTTGAAGGGGCCTGGGAGTTGTCCTTCCCAAGGTGGGCGGTGTGAGAGCGCGAAGGCAGGGGCGCCCCGCGCAGCACGGGAGCGCGAAGCCACGGTCGGGCCTTGTTGGACAGCGTGTCGCTCCGCCGGCTCTGGCCCACCACGCTTTGGCGCGACGCGCTATCCTCCTCCTCCTCCTCCTCCTTCTCCTCCTCCTCCTCCTCCTCCTCCTCCTCGTCCTCCTCCCCCTCCCCCTCCCCCTCCTCCCCCCCTCCTCATCCCCTCTCCTCCTCCTCCCCCTCCTCCTCCTCCCTCTCCTCCTCCTCCTCCTCCTCCTCCTCCTCCTCCTCCTCCTCCTCCCCTCCTCCTCCTCCTCCTCCTCCTCCTCGGGCTTTGTAGTGGGAAGACAATCTCTCAATAACATTGTCGACGCAGATGCGGAGGCACGCCGACTGTCCATTTTGCCGAATGCCGACGCCGAGCAGCCGGTCTTCATTAGCATGGACATCGCAGCGGCTTTCCCCAGCCTCATGCGCCAGTGGATGTGGCAGGCACTCCGGCGCAGCGGTGTGCGCGGTTCGATGTTCACCTTTTTGCGAGCTTGCTACAACATGCCAGTTTCGCTTATCGAGCTGGGTGGAGTACGTCGCCCGCTGCTGATTGCCGACTCGGGGGGTGCCCAGGGCTGTCCTTTATCAGGCACGATCTGGGCCATCGTTTTCGATCCGCTTGTCCGAGGAATAGCTCGTGAAATGCGACGCCTGCGCCGTGGTCTTCTCCGTGCCTGCGCGGACGATCTTGGCATTATACTTGCAGCCCTGCGCGATATTTGCACGCTGGTACCTCATATGGTGGCTGCCGAAGAGCTGGCCGGGCTCAAACTTCAAGCAAAGAAATGCGTTATTGTCCCAGTTTGGTCCCTGCCTACCCCGACGCTGATCGAGGAGATACGGGCCGTCCTGAATTCGGTCCACCCGCTGTGGCGGGATTTCAAAATCGTGGCGTTGGCGAAATTTCTCGGGGCGTTTATCGGCCCAGGGGCCGCGAGATCTATTCAATGGCAAGGGCCTAGTCTTAAGTGGTGGGACCGCTCTCAACTCCTGAGCAAGTCGCGCACCCCATTGCAGATGGGGATCAAGATCTACAATGCCGGCGCCATCACGACTCTCAGCTACGTGGGCCAGTTGTTCCCGCCGACGCCCAAGATGCTGGAAAGGGAAATCCACGCCTTACACAAAGTCCTTCGCACGGCACCATCAAGTACGAAAGCTGACATTTTCTCTTTTGGTGGATGGGGTGGCTTCAAGGTGCCAGTGAGCATGGAGGCGTATCTTGCGGCCACCCTGTGGAGAGCAGCGGTTGCCACCATCAACAACTGGAGAACTGCACACAAGGCGTTAGAGGAATCGGCCCACGCGTTCTTGCCTGCCCCACGCTACGTTACAGGAAAGTGGTGTGCTCCGTGCTGGGCTGATGAGTTCTCCATCACGTACCACTTGCAACAGGCGATTAGCGGCGCGGGCTTCGTGACGGGCAATGGGTCCGCCCACAAACGATTTGCTCGCGCCCGTGGGGCGCAGTCTGCTGATCGACTTCTGCTTCGGGCCCACCGCATTGCAGGGCAACGTGCGACACGTGCCCTGGCTGATCGAGATGTTGCCGAGCGTGCTGGCGCTGCTTTTAACACCGGCGATGGGCACCGCAACGATGCTACACAGCCACGCCGTCAGCAGAGGCTGCGACACGGAACACCTGGCGAACTACCTAACGACGGGCGTACTGGCCCTTCCGCTATTGCCGGGCGTGCCGGCCCATCCGCTATCGACGCGGCGTGCTGGCGAGCAGGGGGTGAGGAAGAAAACCGGCTTCAAGTGCAACCCTCTTGTCGTGGCGAACGCGGGGGCACGGCCAAGCTACCGAGCCCGCAGAAGACGTACCTGTTGGTGCTGCATGGCCACCTGCACCAAGACGAGTTCGCGAAGACGATTTCAAAGCGGCTGCAGAAATGGTTCGGGGACCAGTTCGTGGTACCTGAAGATGTTCAGCGGCGCTGGTCTGCAGCGAAGAAAGTTTTGGCCAGGCTACCACCGTCGAGAGTATGGCCCGTGCTGAAAACATACGCCGGGGAGGAGGAGGGGGAGGAGGAGTTCTTCCTGCCCCCCCTCCCTCGGCCGCCCCGGCAGAGCTGCGCCGCCCGCCCGTGGGCGTGGGGGGGGGGGGGGGCACGGGAGGGCGCGCGCGCGCGCGTGCGCGCAGGGCCTCGCGTCCCCGCCCCGCTGCCCACCGCCGTACCTCCCATGCCTCGCTGCCTCCTCCCGCCTCCCGCCATCCTCCCTCCGACAGGGGCGGTGGATGACGTCCCCGCCCATCCGTTCCTCGGGACGCTGCCGACTTCTGGCGTCGCCTTCGCTGGCCTGCCCGGGTTTGACTTCGCCCGTTCACTCGTGAGCTGCATCGCTTGTCGAGCCGAGGTGTGTGTGTGTTGGTGTGTGTGTGTGTGTGTTGGTGTGTGTTGGTGTGTGTGAGTTGGTGTGTGTGTGTGTTGATTGGTGTGTGTGCGTGTGTGTGTGTGTGCGTGTGTGTGTGTGTGCGTGTGTGTGTGTGTGTGCGTGTGTGTGTGTGTGTCTGCGAATGTGTGTGAAAATGTGCGAATGTGTGTGAATGTGTTTGTGTGTGAATGTGTGTGTGAATGTGTGTGAATGTGTGCGAATGTGTGTGAATGTGTGTGAATGTGTGTGTGAACGTGTGTGTGTGTGGGTGTGAATGTGTGTGAATGTGTGTGAATATGTGTGAATGTGTGTGTGCATGTGTGTGCGTGTGTGTGTGTGTGCGCTCGCTCTTGCCGTAAGCCCTTTCTCGCCCCGCTGTCGGCGTACTCGGACATGTAGGTGTGTCCCCCCATGTCCCCCCTCCCTGCCTCAAGGATCGACCCAGGATCTGTCCAGGGGTGCGCTTCGACCACGGTTTCGAGGCAGATCCAGCCGTGGCGACGAGGAGCCTCTCGGAGGCGCAAAAATGGACCATAACGAAACAATGATTCCGGCCGTTGAAACTCTGTACTCAACTGCAGGTTCGATTAGCGACGGCGCTGGCGTCCGCCGCCCTGTATGGGGGCTCGCTGCGCTGAAGAAGAAGAAGAAGACGAAGCAACCACAGCCGAAAATGTATTTATGTATGCACATCGCAGAGTATCACATGTCTATACGTGCTTGTATGTAGATGTCTGTGTGCAGAGACGTTCCTTCGGCCGCGTCCTCTCCTCGTCCTCCTCTTGCATAGTGGCAATTCGCTCTAACGGCATCCCCGCTTAAGTCTCTCATCGCCAGCGGAGTCACCCTCTGCCTAGCCGCCGACGCAAAAAGTATGCAGAGACGTGTGTTCAATTGTGTATTACAACCCACAAACAAATAAACAAGCAAGCAAAGCATCCGCCGCCCTTTCGACGCGAGTCGCGGCGCGAGGGGGCGTCCGGCGCGTCCGCTTCGGCCGCCTGTGGGCCGCGGGCGAAGACGCGCAGCCGCCCCCCGCAATGCCGGGGGCTTTTGTCGTGCTGTGCGCGCTCAGGCGCTCATCGGATCGGCGGCGGCCTTCGGCAGCCATCGGCGGCCATCGGCGGCCTTTGGCGGCCATCGGTGGCCATCGGAGGCCATCGGAGGGCTTCGGCGGCGTTCCCGCGTCGCCATCATCATCACCATTATCATCATCTGCATCATCATTATTAGCATTATTGTCAGTACCATCGTGATCATCATCATCATCATCATCACCATCATCATTATCATCATCATCATCATCATCATCATCATCATCATCATCATCATCATCATCATCATCATCATCGTCATCGTCATCGTCATCGTCATCGTCATCGTCGGGTCTTGTGGCGCGCAGTGCACGCCAGGGTGGGTCTGCAGCAAGCCACCGCCAAGAAAATGCCCTCGGACCGAAGATTTTGAGCCGACCTCATCCCCCTCCTCCTCCTCATCATCATCATCTTCCTCCTCCCGTTCTGTTACGCCACACTCTGCTACGGCAACCCTGCATCGCACAGTACCACACCACGCCTGGTGGCCAACGGATCCGAGATTAGCCTTAAGTCGGGCCTGTCCCTCTACAGGAGGAATGTTCACAAATAGTCTAACAGTAGTCTGGGGGCGATATTTGAAACATGTTTGGGGCAATTTTTGAATAGTGTTTGAGTACTGTTGTTCTTCGTCCAAAATCCGCCTGTAGGGGGACATGCCCGACCTAAGATTAGCCGCGTTGGACCCCGCGGTACCACTTTTATCCCTGGCGGCGCCAGCGGACGCGCGGCGCGAGAACCGGGACCTGTCGGGGCAGCGGGGCGCGGGGCGCACGGAGCGAGTGGAAAAGCACAGGGCGGCCACGGCGGAAGAAGGGGAGGAGGAGGAGGAGGAGGAGGAGGAGGAGGCGAAGGAGGAGGAGGAGGAGACAAGGGAGAGGGAGAAGGATGGAGCACGAGAGGGATAGGAGGGGGATAGGAACAGGACAACAAGCAAGGCGGACCAGACGGGCGGGTAAGGTGGGCGGACCCTAACGGCCGGGTCGGGCGGGTGGACCTTGACGGCGGGATGGAGCGGGCGGGTCGCTGAAAGGTCAGTCCTGCGTAAATCGCGAGGGAGTTTCCAGCGACAGCGCTATTTCCGAGTACATCGTAAAGAAATTCAAAGCCAGAGCGAGTTGTTTGATAGAAGGGCGCGTTTTTATAAATCGTGAAGAAGTCCCGCACGAGAGCGCGATTGTGAATCAATTGTGAGGAAGTATCAGGCGGGACCCGTTGTTGTTGTAGTTCGGGGGCCAGGTCCAATTATCGAACCCCCCCCGCCCCTCCCCCTCCTCCAGCGAGACTGTATGCCTGTCCGCCCCTGCAAGTGAGATTTCGCCCCCAGAACCTTCAGTGCGGGATCTCATTAAGATCCTAATCCATTCCATCAAGACCCTCGTCGGATTCTTGCAGGGGTCCTGAAGGAATCCTGCGGGTTCCTGTTGGTCTTGAAGACTTCGATGAAATTATTGAAGAATGTGTGAGGCATCCTACAGGTTTCCTGCAGGTCGCTGCAGGATTCCTGCGGGTCCCGGATGATTATTGCGGCTTCTTGAAGCACCCCAGCAGAATTTCGGAAGGATGCTTGGAAGTCTTTTCGGCTCCTAAAGGTTTCCTGAGGATTCCTGCGGAGGCGTGGAGAAAGAACTAGGGTTAAGTCGGGCCTGTCCCCCTACAGGGGGATTTTCGACGAAAAATTGAAAATACCCAAAAAATAATCAAAACATAGTCCAAACATAGTCTGGGGACTATTTTTGGACTATTTTTTGCCTTTCTGGAGCATTTGTGGGGTATGCTTTATCTTTCGTCGAAAATCCCCCTTGTAGGGGGACAGGCCCGACATAAAACCAGGGATGCTTGAAAGGCGCTGCACCCTCCTGCCGCAGCTCCTCCCCCTCGTTGGCAGATTATTTTTCGTCGAAAATCCCCCTGTAGGGGGACAGGCCCGACATAAAACTAGGGATGCTTGGAAGGCGCTGCACCCTCCTGCCGCAGCTCCTCCCCCCCGTTGGCAGCACGGGCCGCCCTGCGTCCGCGCGTCCGCTGCAGAAGGTGAGCTGCCGCTCGCACGAGCCGGCTCTAGCCACGAGCTGCCTCGAGCGAGAACCACATGTTGAACAGTACACTCTAGGCGTTGCTTAAGAAAACGTAAGGTTTCGGCCAGAGTCTCGATTATTCTTACTGTTTCAATGTAAATCCTAAGATTTCAATCGAAATTTTGGGTTTGTAATCAAATTCTGAGACTATGAATTTCTTAACCCATGATTTCTTAAGCATTTCGCAGGGTGTAAGCGACTTCCTCTTCCTTTCTTGTCGTATCTGATGTGCGAATAATGCCGACGATTGCTGCTCAGCGCACTGGTTCTGTGCTGCCCCGAACACGCAGGCTGGGGCAGGGGGCGCACCTGGGAACTCGGGCGCTGGATGTCGCAGGCGGTGCGGGCGGGAGCGTTACCCCCGAGACTGGAGTGCCTTTCGGGACTGCCACGAAAACCATACGAGGTCAAGCATGGTGCAAAGGCATGTGTAAGAATGGGCGCATGGGTCGCAAAATGCAATTTTTCCCGAAACCCATTTGCTATCTAACAATTCTGTTACAATGTTACAAGGTTGTTCAGATGAACTAATTCCTTGTACTGCCCAGAAGAAAGGGCGGGCCGATGTCGGAATGCGGGTGGTTAAAAAAATGCAGGTGGTGCGGGGGGGGGGGGCGTAGTTAATTGGACTGGAATGGCCTTCAGGACCGCCCAGAAGACCGTGCGAGGTCAAGGGGTAGCAAATAGAAACCGCATGGCGGCAGGCTTGGCGTTGCGAAAGAATCTGACCAGGGATATTGCGTTGCATTGGGGTCATCGGCGTTGCACTCCTTTGACTCATTGTCCTCGCTGCTTTGCACTGCTGCGCGTTCCTCTGCATTGGATTGAATTGCTCTGCGTTGCGCTGCATCGCCTGGCGTTGCTGCGCGACCAGACTGGTTCCTGAAGAAGTCCAGGGCCGTCCTGCCGATTCGTCAAAAATTCCTGCAGATTGCTCGAGGATGCCTGAATGATTCCTGAGGATCCCTAAGAATTTATCTGCCCGTGTTCCTCCCTGATTACATTCTCCCACCCACCATCCCACATCACCCAAAACCTACATCCTCCTACTTAGCTCTTCCTCCGTTCCCCCTGGACGACAACTTCGGGTTACTTGAAGTTCGCTCTTTGGGTTGTTCCATTCCCCTTTCCGCAATTCTGGGAATCGTGAAGTTTCCTCCGGATCTGGGAGGACGCCGAATGATTCCTGGGAACATTTGCAGTTTCTTGTGGGTTCTTGAAGGTTCTTTGAACAAATCCTGACGGACTTCGGAAGGATAGTTCGGATTCCTCGGGATTTCTACGGATGCCTGAAGGATTCCTGAAGGTTCCTGACGGAGTCGTGGCAGATTTCTGCCGGTTCTTGAAAGATGGTTTGATGATTCGTGGGGATATCCGAGGGTCTTCGAAGATCCAAACGAACGTGCTGTAGACTCGTGAGTGATTCGGGAGGATTCCTGCGGATTCCTGAAGATTCTTGAGGATTCAGAAATCATCCCTGAAGGATTCCCCCGGGTTGTCTGCCAAGCCCTGCAAATTCTTGCAGGACGCCTGAAGGAATCCTGAGAATTCTTGGGCCCCCCCCGAGCATTTTTCAACTGATTACGTAACAGAGTGAGGCGCTAACGATATCGCTCGGCGGTTCCCCCCCTTTGGAATTATGTTGTTTGCTGTGTTGTGTTCGTTGAGAAAGAATTGTGAAAGTTAGGGATAACGGCGGGTCGAAAATTGGAGCTCAGGGATAACAAACAGGGTGCGAGCTACGGAAAGGGCACTTCAGTTAAAAAAGCACAATGGGCACTGGAGGGTGGGGGATTATATTTCTTTGCTTGCAGTGCGACTTCAACCACAACAACAGCCATTTGAACACTCATCGCTCTCAGCTGCTCGCGTCCCACACAACATGTAAATCCCAAACCATCAATACCCACCTCTCCATCTTCGACCGCACCCCCCTTGGGAGTACATCTTCCTTACACGCCACGTGTAGTTAATGCAGTCCCTAACACAGGGGAAGGGAGGGAGGAGGGAGGAAACACGAGGGAGGAAGAAGGATGGAGCACAACAGAGCTTAGGAGAAGGGGAGCCAGGTGCAGAAAAACAAGCGACAGAACCAGACGGGCGGGTCGGGCGGGCGGGCCCTAACGAGCGGGTCGGGAGAGCTGCCCCAGGCGGCCGCGTCGAGCGGGCGGGTCGCTGAAGCGCCAGCCCGCATGACTCTTGAGTAAGTGTCGAGCGATAGGGCGATTCCCAGTTAGATCGCGGGGAAGTCCAGAGCGAGAGTTTGACTCCTGAGTGTCATGGGCGCGGCGTTTCTTTATAAATTGCAAGGAATTCCCACGCGAGAGCGCGATCTTGAATAGATTGTGAGGAAGCCCCGCGCGAGAGCACGATCTTGAATACTTTCTGAGGAGGTATCAGGCGGGAGCCGTTGTCGCAGTTCGGGGTCAGGGGGACAATCTGAGCCCCAAGAGGGGCCTTTTCATTTGAGAAGACACACTGGGCACCAGAGGGAGGGGGTCAACGATAGCTGTCTTTCAGAAGTGAGAATCCAACCGCAAATCAAAGCGGCCGAGGGGAGGGGGTCGAGAGGTCCGGGAGCCTACGCATCGCAAACATCGAAGCGTCGGATGTCTGGGTCCTCCCCTGGAGGTTCTTGGGCGTCTTGGGCCTCTTGCGGGCCCCCAGGGGCCTCTGGCGACTTCCGCAGAGGCTTCGGGGGTCCTCCAGAGACCTCCAGGGACCCACTCATGGGCACCTCTCCTCTTGGAAGCCCAAGTCGGGCTGGAGTCGATGGGATCCGTGGATCGCACCGCGTCGGCGATGCTTTGCGACGTCTCGATGGGGAAAACGGGGCTCCAGGTCACGACGAGTCGCCTGTGCATCGGCGAAGCGGCGCGATCCTCCGACTCCATTTACTCCAGCCGGCCTCGCCTTCGGCGCATCCCCGCCTTCGGCGGAAGCCAGCGGAGGTAAACAGCGGCAGATCAGTCGGCGGAGGGCGGCCGTGCAAGAGTGAGGCATCAGCGCTCCTCGGTGCAGAGTTTCCAGAACTGGCTACCTGGGAGGCCCCGGGGTTCTGGCGCCCGCCGCGGGCTTCTTCCTGCCCCTCTCCTGGCCGAGCAGGTGAGGCGCCGCCTTGCGCCGCCGCCAGGGCACGCGACGCCAGCGGCTGGCCTTCCCGCAGGCAGGGGGACGCCAGTTGTGCGCCTGCGCCGGTCCTGGCCAGGCCCCCCCCCCATAGGCCTGGGATCGGTGCGTGAGGCGCTCCTGCCTCGGCCGCGAGAGCCGGCTGCCCAGACGGCCGGCGCCTCGGGAAAGTCGAGGCGGCGAGTTTGCAGCTCTCTGTCCTCGCGTTCGGAGGCCAGCGTCGAGCCTCGGGGGGGGGAAAGAGCATCTCGGAGTGTTGGTATCGCTCGGACGTGTGCCTTTTTTTCTCGGCGAGGACCTTCGAGGAGCACCCTCGACCATCTGGCGAAAAAAACACGCACGAAACCGAAAAAAACACAGGGAACGGACGTCCGAGCGATGGCCAGGACAGTGGCCCCGGGAAGGTGGCCCGGAGGTCTGGGGGCCCACGCTAGCGCAGAAGCCGGAGCGCCGGATGTCTCTGGATACACCGACCTTGGGCCCAGGGTCCCCCCAGCCAGGACCAGCGCAGGGGTGCAATCGGCGTCCTCCTGGACCCATGCTCGTCGCCGCGGCGGGGCGCCGCCGCCAGCGCCGCAACCGGAGGCCGCTTCTGCACCGTTTCCCGGCAAGCGGGGCTTTGCATCTGCAGACCGGGGCATTCCCTGGCGGCGCTCCCAGAAAGTCGGTGGTGGACAGAAACCCCACCCTGACACGTCGATTAGTGAGTTGTCCGCCGCGGCATTTTCCAGGCTTGCGCCTTCCAGGTTTGGGCCCGAGGACGTTTTCACTAAACCACGTTTTACTACAGGTGGTTCTGCCCATCCCCGAGAAAGACTCCAGAGGGGTGCGCTTCTTGAACGAAGTCGCGCATGTCGATTTCCCAAGGTGTCAGTGTGACAGTGCTTCGACTGGCCATTCCGTTTCGCGAAAAGGGCGCCAGGGAAGAGTCCGCCAGTGAGCAGCAGAACACATGTTCAAACAGAGTAGAGCACATCATCCTGGAGTACGATACCTGATGTTCGAATGCACAGGAAAGAGATCCAAAGTGAACAGCACACATCACGTTATATCTATATATATGTATATACACCTACGTATATATACACGTATATGTAGATGCGTGTGTATATATATAGATATATATATATATATGTTTGTATGTATGTATATATATATATATGTATACGTAGTATACTCCCCAAACAGTGTTTGCACATTGAGGGTCTTATGCGTTTTCTAAGGAGCTGAGTTCCGTTGTCGGGTCCGCCGCCTTGTGGTCGCCACCGTTGTCTCGTCGCCGCCCGTTTTCTGGGCTCCGCTGTCGGGATCGTCGCCATGTGGTCTGTCGCCGCTCGTCGCCGTCGCATTATGCTCGCAATTTTGATTGTGCGAGCCTCGTTGACTGCACAACGTAGATTGCATCACAAAGCTTGCACCACATGGAATGGACCACATAGATCGCATAACTGATCCCGGAGAGGGACCCAACCATGTGCAGGTGTGAGTACCGTCATTGCAGGTATCGTCCGCGAAAAGTGTGAGGGGTGCGACGCAATGGGGCGGAGCCGCCATTGGGGCCTTCGGCGGAGTTCTCTGTGTGGTAACGAAGCGCTGTAATGGGTGAGGGGAACGCATGCGATTACAGCCACCTGGGCCCCCAGTGGAGCTAGCGATGGGGCCACGAAGCGCTGTGCTGGGCGGGGGGAAAGCATGCGAACACCGTCAGTGGGGCCTTCGGTAGAGCTCCCTACGCGGCCATGAAACGCTGCACTGGGTGGGGGAAACGCATGCGAACACTACCACTGGAGCCCTCGGTGGAGCTCCCTGTGGAGCCACGAAACGCCGTAGTGGGTGGGGGTGATGCATGCGGGCTGCGCCACTGGGACCTTCGGTGGACCTCCTTCTGGGGCCACGAAACGTTGCAATGGGCGGGGGGGGGCATGCGAACTGCGCCGCTGGGCCCCTTCGATGGAGCTCCCTCTGGGGCCACGAAACGCTGTACTGGGCGGGGAGTCGCATGCGAACTGCGCCACTGAGACCTTCAATATAGCTCCCTCTGGGGCCACGAAACGTTGTATGCGGTGGCAGAAAAATCCGAACTGCGCCACTGGGACCTTCGCTGGGGCTCCCGATTGGGCAACAAAACGTTGTGAGTGGGCGGGGGACACGCACGCGAACTGCACCATTGGGACCTTCGGTGGAGCTCCCTATGGAGCCACAAAACGCTGTATTTGGCGTGGGGGGCGCATGCGAACTGCTCCACTGGGACTTTCGGTGGAGCTCCATCCGGGGGCACGAAACGCTGTACTGGGCGAGGGGGACACGTGCGAACTGCGCCACTGGGACCTTCGGTGGAGCTCCCTCTGGGGCCGCGAAACGCTGCATTGGGCGGGGGGAGCACATGCGAACTGCGCCACTGGGACATTTGGTGGGGTTCCCTCTGGGGCCACGAAACACGTTGTACTGGGTGGGGGAGACGCATGCGAACTGCACAAGTAGGACCTCCGGTGGAGCTCCCCTTGGGGCCACGAAACGCTGTACCCCCGGTGGGGGAGACGCATGCGGACTGCGCCACTAAAACATACGGGGAAGCTCCCTATCGGGCCACAAAACGTTGCACTGGGTGTGGCAGGCAGGTCCAGCCGCCCGTGGGGGCGAGGAGAGGGAAGGGCGGCGCTGGGCTTCGCCCCGTGCCACGCTGGAGCTGCGGTCGAAAGGCAAGCGATCCTACGGTCTAGACCCTGTGTTAATGGTGTCGTTCCGCCTCCTCTTCCTTCCACAATTGTTCAATATGAATACTACTCCCCCTCTTCCCCTCATGACGTCTTGGGAATGTTCGCCCCCCCCCCCCCCCCCGCGTATTGTTTTTTACACACAGGTTTCCCTGGAGTTAGGTTTTCGCCTGCATTTGTTCCCGAAATGCTGCTCTCGCTGAGGCGCCGGCTTCATTTTCGGGCCCCGCTCGTTCCGAATCGTGTTCCCGCTGCAGCGCTGACATCATTTCCGCCGGCGCCTGGGCTACACGCTCGAGCCGGCGCCCGGGCCGGCGCTCGGGCCGGGTCCGGAGCCGGTTCCGGCCGCCCCTGGAAAATGGAGTTCCGAGGCGGCGCTGAAAAAAGACCATTCTACTACACATTTTTCTTTTGAAAATGCTCAATTTCTGCTTCCGGCGCCCGGGAGGCCTCCTGGGCCGATTCCGACGCCCGGGCTGGCGCCCGAGCCCGCCCGGGGAGCTTGTTTTTTTGTAGACTCTGGCAAATTTACTTGCATGGACGACGGGACGGGGGGGGGCTGAGCCTGAAGCAAGCCCGGAGGGGGGAGGCGCGGAAATCACGCAAGTCGAGAGGCATTTGCACGCTAGTATTCGCTTGAAGAGGGGGCGAGGGAAGAGAGGGGGGGGGGGGGGGGGGCGAACGCCATGCAATTAAACTTGCCTGAATCCATCAAAAAAACAACAACAACAACACAACAACAACAACAACAACAACAACAACAACAACAACAACAACAATCATTTTACCCGAACGCGTGGTGTTCTCCCCAGTGCCAGGGTTTTCATACGACACCAGGCAATACCCCCACTTCGTGGGGGGGCATTACAAGCTCTACCAAATATCCAAACGACTCTTCGCGACCACCCAAACCCAGCTTCCCGCCCTATGACGTTGGGACACTTCACTTCGTGGCGTGCGGACGACCGTGGCTACTACACTGGCGTGGGGTACACACCCACAGAACTTGGTCACTTATTCGGGGCGCGCATGTGCCCAGCATGGTGCAATTGTGCCATACAATACATAATACAGAGAGACAGAGAGAGAGACAGAGAGCAGACAGAGAGAGAGACAGAGAGAGCGGAGTTGGTCACATTTTTGGGTCAAGTTCCTGGGATGATGGGAATACACAATGAGGATGTTTTTCGAGGACCTACGGTGCGATTCGTGTGATTTTATGATGCGCGGTGCTAAAATTCTTAAGAACCCAATGGTTTTTGGAGATTTCGGCGTGCGCGCGCAAAAAACGAATGTGTCCCGCATGGTATTATTTGACAGGGATGATGGCCCTGGCAGGTGCGCAACCGTTGTCGCAGAAGTTCGAAAAAGTTGCTCGCAAAAGCCCGTTTGACAGAAATGTTTAAAAAGTGTTGGGTTTCCTACGAATCCGCAAGAGCGCGCGGGATGAGATTTTGACATTTTTTTGTTGAAAAACCATTGGTTTTTTGATGTTTTTATGTTAAAATCGCTCCGAACACTAAGGTTTTGGAAGGATTTCGTCTTGCGCGCGCGAATGTCCACTTTACCTTATTTTTTGCAAGGGATTCTTGAAATTTGATTATATTAGAACAAGAAATGTCATTTTATAGTGTTTTTTGCAAGGGAAAGCGGATTACAACAAAACAACCGGATCTGATCACATCGTTTTACCTGAGGCTTCCTCACGAAAATGATGAAAATGTAGCTGCGGCCTAGGCGCGGCAGGGGGGGGCGTGCACCAGGGGGCCCAACAATAATTATTCTTTAGAATTAATAATGTTCAACAACAACAACAACAACAACAACAATTACTAGCACGTGGGGACACTCCGTTCTCACCAGTGCCAGGGTTTTCATAGGAGGCGGGCAATACCCCCACTTTGTGGGGGGGCCGGTTCAAGCTCTACCAAATTTCCAAACGACTCTTCGCCACCACCCACACCCAGCTTCCCGCCCTATGACGTTCGGACACTTCACTTCGTGGCATGCGGACGACCGTGGCTACTATTCAGGGCCCCGCGGCCGACGACGACGGCGTGCGCGCGCGAAGAAAAAACGAATGTGTCCCGCATGGTATTATTTGACAGGGATGATGGCCCTGGCAGGTGCGCAACCGTTGTCGCAGAAGTTCGAAAAAGTTGCTCGCAAAAGCCCGTTTGACAGAAATGTTTAAAAAGTGTTGGGTTTCCTACGAATCCGCAAGAGCGCGCGGGATGAGATTTTGACATTTTTTTGTTGAAAAACCATTGGTTTTTTGATGTTTTTATGTTAAAATCGCTCCGAACACTAAGCTTTTGGAAGGATTTCGTCTTGCGCGCGCGAATGTCCACTTTACCTTATTTTTTGCAAGGGATTCTTGAAATTTGATTATATTAGAACAAGAAATGTCATTTTCTATTGTTTTTTGCAAGGGAAAGCGGATTACAACAAAACAACCGGATCCTGTACACACCCTCTTTTCTGAGGCTTCCTCACGAAAATGATGAAAATGTAGCTGCGGCCTAGGCGGCGCAGGGGGGGGCGCGCACCAGGGGGCCCAACAATAATTATTCTTTAGAATAAATAATGTTCAACAACAACAACAACAACAACAACAATTACTAGCACGTGGGGACACTCCGTTCTCACCAGTGCCAGGGTTTTCATAGGAGGCGGGCAATACCCCCACTTTGTGGGGGGGCCGGTTCAAGCTCTACCAAATTTCCAAACGACTCTTCGCCACCACCCACACCCAGCTTCCCGCCCTATGACGTTCGGACACTTCACTTCGTGGCATGCGGACGACCGTGGCTACTATTCAGGGCCCCGCGGCCGACGACGACGGCGTGCGCGCGCGAAGAAAAAACGAATGTGTCCCGCATGGTATTATTTGACAGGGATGATGGCCCTGGCAGGTGCGCAACCGTTGTCGCAGAAGTTCGAAAAAGTTGCTCGCAAAAGCCCGTTTGACAGAAATGTTTAAAAAGTGTTGGTTTTCCTACGAATCCGCAAGAGCGCGCGGGATGAGATTTTGACATTTTTTTGTTGAAAAACCATTGGTTTTTTGATGTTTTTATGTTAAAATCGCTCCGAACACTAAGCTTTTGGAAGGATTTCGTCTTGCGCGCGCGAATGTCCACTTTACCTTATTTTTTGCAAGGGATTCTTGAAATTTGATTATATTAGAACAAGAAATGTCATTTTATAGTGTTTTTTGCAAGGGAAAGCGGGGGGGAACAAAACAACCGGATCTTGATCACATCGAATTACCTGAGGCTTCCTCACGAAAATGATGAAAATGTAGCTGCGGCCTAGGCGGCGCAGGGGGGCCGTGCACCAGGGGCCCCAACAATAATTATTCTTTAGAATTAATAATGTTCAACAACAACAACAACAACAACAACAACAACAACAACAACAACAACAACAAAAAAACTCGGGCCGGCGCTCGGGCCATGTCCGGAGCCGGTTCCGGCCGGCGCCAGAAAATCGAGTTCCGAGGCGGCGCCGAAAAAAGGATATTCTAATACACATTTTTCCTTTGAAAATGCTCAATTTCTGCTTCCGGCGCCCGGGGGCCGCCCGGGCCGATTCCGACCCGGGGCTGGCGCCCGAGCCCGCGCCCGGGCCAGACGCCCGAGCCGGTGCCTGGGCCGGCGCCCGGGCCGGGTCGGGCCGGGTCCGGAGCCGGTTCCGGCCGGCGCTGGAAAATCGAGTTCCGAGGCGGCGCCGAAAAAAAAACATTCCAATACAATTTGTTCTTGTGAAAATGCTGAATTTCTGCTTCTGGCGCCCGGGAAGCCTCCCGGGCCGATTCTGGCGTGCTTCCGTTCGTTCCGAATCGTGCTCCCGCGCTGGCCTCATTTCCGCGCTTCCGCTCGTTTCGATTCGTGCTCCCGCTGCAGCGCTGGCGTCATTTCCCGCGCCATGCCACGGCATGCAATGCAATGCTAGGTTGATACTACGCTTGGCGGTGCTCTTCTACGCCATGCCACGCCGTGCTCTACAATGCATCGCGTACCCTTTCGGGATCATTGCCCTGCTCGACATTCGACTGTGCGAATAGAGAGGGGATCTGCGCCATGGTAAAGGATGGGAGGGAGGGGTAGGATGTCAGATATGACGCGAGCGCACCTAGCTTGCCCCTCCCCCCTCTCCCCCGCCTCCCTCCTCCCTCCGTCCTCCTCCCTTTTCCTTCCTCCCTCCCTCCTCCTCCTCCTCTTCTTCCTGCTCCTCCTCCTCCTGCTCCTCCTCCTCCTCCTCCTCCTCCTCCTCCTCCTCCTCCTCCTCCTCCTCCTCCTCTCCTCTCCTCCTCCTCCTCCTCGTGCTCCTCCTCATACTCGCCCCCTCATCATGATCCTCCCCCTCCTCCACCTCCCCCTCCCCCTCCTCCTCCCCCTCCTCCTCCACCTTTTCCTCCTCCTCCTTCTCCTCCTGGCCCACTAGGCCCCGGTCTCCAGGCGTCAGCGCCCCGAGCCTCTCCGAGCCCCCCGCCGCGCGGAGCGCGGCAACATGCTGTCGCCTCGCGGGGCCGCAGCGGCGACACGCTGAGCAAAAGTTCATGACCGCAGTGGGGCTTCAGAAGCCTATTCTAACGGCCTCCCAGGAGCCCTTTTTAGGAAGTTTCTCGGAAGCTTCCGAGAAGCCTCCAAGAAGCCCCATCGACGCCTGCCATAAATTGGCGGCGCGCACAAGGGGGTGGAAGGAGGGGGGAGGGCTTCTTAGAAGGAGGCTGCTTCTTAGAAGGCGCTTACCTTACATCAATAGACAAGGCCCGCGCCTTCTAAGAAGCAGGGGTGCTTCTAAGAAGCCTTCTCCCCTACCCCTACCCCCTTTCTGCGCGCGACCGAATAAGCTCCAAGAGGCTTCCAAGAAGCATCCTGCAAAGCTCATTCGGTGCAAGTATCTCAGGACGCCTGGAAAAGCCCCAACTTGCTAGGGAAAGCCAAGCTTGCTGGGAAAAAACAACCCACCGCAGTCAGCGATCAAGGATCGAGGAAAACGCAGGAGACTCCAGGTTTCTGGGCTGCTTGGGCCCTTTCCGCAGGCCTCTGGAGGCTTCCGTGGACCTCTGGAGGCTTCCGTGGTTCTCTGGAGGCCTCCCGTGACTTCCGCGTACGCCCTCCAGGGGTGTCGGGAGGTTCCCGTGAGAAGGCGCAAGTGGGGGGGTTAGCTGGCCCCCGCGCGGAGAGGATGCACAGGAGAGAATCGGCACGAACGACATGGGCACGGAAAGAATTTGTACAATGCACCACAGCAGCTCTTGTTCATTTTCAGCAGGACTCGCTGTCCGCGCCGCCGCGGCCTGTGTCCATTCGAGACAGAAGGCCGCCTGCCCAACAGCGGCCGCTGTTGGTTTGGGGCAGCATCTGGGCATTGTACACACGTTTTCCGTACCCATTTCGGGCGTCCAAAGATAAGGCGCAGGGGGAAGGCTTGGTGGGGGGAGGGAAGAAAGAGGGAGATTGCGCAAGCCTTCTCGCTCGCTCTCTCTCTCTCTCTTTCTCTCTCTCTCTCTCACTCTCTCTCTCTCTCTCTCTCTCTCTTTCCACAGGCTCATGAACGACCTCCGGAAGGAGCCTGCTGCGTTCGTGGAGGTGTCTTCGGCGTCGTCCTCGGCGGAGGACTCCTCCGCACCTTCGCCGACCAGAGCGCCGCGCCAAGAGTTCGCAGGCGCCTGGAGGCTGCTGAAAAAGATCGTAGCACATGGCGACGGGGGCGCTCGTTGCCTGCGCCAGGCTCGGGGCCTCAGACTGCCTACGGAGCAGACCCGAGTGGTGGCTCGTTGCTTGCTCACCAGCCGGGGGGGTAGGCCCAGCCCGAGCCCAACTCCCACAGCGAGCACGCCCTTCAACCACGGAAAGCTAGCTGCTTTTCGCTCGGCAGTGCGAAGTGGAGATCGTCGGGGCGGGGCTGATATCCAACCAGAGGCGCAGTGCATGATCACGTTGCTGCTTAAGGGGGCTCCTTCCGCTAGTCAATATTTCGAGGAGTCAGTCTTATTTGAGTATTCTTGGGGGGTAGAGGGCCATTTCACTTTCGGGCGGCACTCGCTTGACTCTTGACCGTCCCATGCCCGCAAGAGAAGGGGTCAAGCTATCGTTTTTCAGGTGTCATGGTATTTCTTACAGGTCCTTCGAAAACGCGGCAGAGGCCTCGCGGGGCCACCCGACGGTTAGGCGTATGGTGCCCGTTCTGGGGCACCCTCACAGGTGAATTACGGTTTCATCACTTCCACTTCATTTTTGGGGGGCAGTTTATTGGAAACCGTGCCCAACGCATCGCTATCCCGTACATTCTCTCGGGCATGGTCCATTCTACATTCCTAACCTCTAGTAAGGAACACACCCCCGCCAAGCTGGGTCTGAATATGTATCAAATTCTTGACGTTGTATGTATCAAATTCTGAACGCTTCGCGTATCCCCACCAACCGTACCGCGCCCCGGACGTTGTGCACTCTCCTTGTCCCTCGCCTTGGAGCCGCGAACCGAAAAAGTATCCCCACCAGCTCTTGAACAGTACCGGCGCTTGTGCTTGCACTCCCCTGGCCCTGGTCCCCAGACACCGCCCGGCTTGGCCGTGTCTGGCTCCCACTCCGCCACTGGCGCCGGGTTCCGTCCCCCTCAGCCTCGGTGGAGGCGCCCGTCACCTGGCCTCCGGCTCTCTCTTGTTCCCTGGTACCGAGTGGGCCCTGGCGTTCAGGTTTCGCGCGTTCTGACCAGGTCTGGCAGTGCTTGCACTTCCCTGGCTCTGGTTGTCAGCTGGCCACCTGGGGTACTGGCCCGCCGTGTCTTCCAGGAATGGTTCAGCCTTCTTGTGCGGCCTGGCGTGTCACCTGGCGGTCTGCTACCCTGTCCTCTGGCGCCCGGTGGCGACGAGGCCTAATTCTCGTGCCTGGTGATTCAGATCCCATGGGACTCGCACGCTGCAGCATCCCAGCCGCCTCGGCAGCTGGCAGTCCCTCCCCCCAGCGCAGCTCAGCCCCGGCGCGGCTGCTGCCCTCGGCGGTAGGTATTGCCTGTTTGGCGCGCGCGCCGGCAATTAGGTTGCTCGTAGCCCGAGCTAACTCTGCTGACGCCGTCGGCGCCTTCGCCCGCGGCCGCGGCCAAAAAAATATCCCCACCAGCCCATCCAGAAACGACGCCCAGGCGAGTTGAGGTGATGAGGGAAGTGTATGAGCGAAGAGGGGGACAGCCGAACCGTTCGAAGGAGGAGGAGGAAGAGGAGGAGGAGGAGGAGGAGAAGGAGGATGGAGGAGGATGGAGGAGGATGGAGGAGGAGGGCGAGCAGCTTGGGATATCGTTTGGGCGCCTTGTGGAAGCTTCTTGGGGCGTCTTGGGGGTCTCTTGGCAGTCCTGGGGAGCTTTTGGGCGTGGAGGCCTCTTGGGGCTGTTTGGGGTCAATTTGGGGGCCTCCTGGGGGCTTTGGGGGGCCATCATGGAGCCATCTTGGGGCCATCCTGGGGCCTCCTGGGCGCCTTTAGGGCCATCTTGGAGGATATCGATCATAAAGGGGGGTTCCTTAACTAGGGCTGCCCATCTAAAGCGTCTAGCATCGCCTCTCGGGGCGCTCTTGGAGCGCTGTTGGTCGCTGTTGGAGCCGCATTGAGGCTTTATTGGGCCCCTCTTTGAGCACTCTTGGGTCATCTTGGAGCCATCTCGAGGCCTTGGAAGGCTATCAGAAGCGAAACGGCGACAATGTAAAAAGCACTGGGTTGTCCCAAGGTTTTTGAAGTGTGTTGGCCTCTTGGGGGCCTCCTGGGAAGTCTCGGAGTCCTCTTGGAGCCGTCTTGGAGCGTCATTGGGGCCTCTTGGGGCATCTTTGGAGCCAGATTCAGGCATCTTGGGCTATCTTCAGCCATCTTGGAGGTCACCCCGGGCTCCCGGAGGCCCTTCTGGCGCCGTCTCGAACGAAAGAATACCCTCCGACACCTCGCGGGGCGCCCCGCCCAGGTACAGGGGAGGGGGGAGGGGGGAGGGGTAACCGACGGGGGAAGAAGTGGGGTGGAAGAGGAAGCTCCCTAACCACTTATGCCCAGAGGGCCAGTGGGGCTTCAATACCGAATTCCAAAAAGCTGACCCAGTTTCTGAACCTCAGGATCCTTGCCTGGATCTTCCGCCAGATCTTCGTCCAAAGCGTCCTCCAGGTCTCCCCTTAGATATCACCCCAGATCTTCGCCCAGATGTTCCTCCAGATATGATTCCAAATCTCCCCCCGATCGTCCACAAAATGTTCCTCCACATCTTCGCCAAGATCCCCCACCAGATCTTCGCCCAGATCTTCTTCCAGCTCTTTCCCAGATTTGAGAGAGCGTGATCCACCGCCGCTTTACTATGGAAAGTTCCTACTCTTCCCCTGGAACCCGGGAGTCCCCCCCCCCTCCGAAAATCCCCCCCTTGCTAGACACCCCCCCTTCCCCCGGCAAAACCCCCCCCTCCCCTAACCCCCCCCCCTTCCCCTCCGGAAAACCGGGGGGGTCACTACCGGTTCGAACCCCCCCCCCTCCCCTCGGAAAATCGGGGGGGGTCACTACTGGTTCGAAACCCGCCCCCCCCCAGAAAACCACAGGAAGGTCACTACCGGTTCGAACCCCCCCCGTCCAGAAAACCGGAGGGGGTCACTACTGGTTCGAAACCCTCCCCCCCCCCTCTCGAACGGGGGGGTCACTACCGGTTCGAACCCCTCCCACCCCCCCCCCCTCCGGAAAACTGGGGGGGGTCACCACCGGTTCGACCCCCCCCCCTCGAAAACCAACAAGGGCCACTACCGGCCGGTTCGAACCCCCCCCCCTCGAAAATCGAGGGGGGTCACTACTGGTTCGAACCCCTCCCCCCACCCCTACGCTCACCGCCAGCAAACGACTCCCGGTCCCTACCACCGTCCACCCCACATCCCCCACTGGTGTCGCCAGCACCACTGTCCTCAGCACCACTGTCCCCACTGGTTCCACCACCGTCCCTACTGTCCCCACCAGTGCCCCCACCATTGTCGCACTGTCCCCACTGTCCCCACCACTGTTCCCACCACGGTTCCACTCTACCCACTGTCTCCACGGCCCCAGCCACTGCCGGGCCTTGCGGCACTGTTCGGCGACAGTCACCATATCGGGGGGATGGGTCCTGCTCCTTGAGATTACGCATCCAATGGAAAAGAAAGGGGCTCCCCACCCCGAGGCGGCGATTCTGTCGGCAATCCGTCAACTTAGCGCGCTCTCTGAAAACCTACAGCTCATCAAGAAGCCTCGCAACGACGCATGCATGAGCGACAACGGATGGAAGGCTCGCTTGAAGAAGGAGGGCGACATCCCTGGGTTGCATCGAGCGTGCGGCAGAAACTACGAAGCGCGTCGACGAAAGACGGATCTCTTCTGCCCGCGAGACAGGGATGGCATGGTGTTTGCATTGTTCACAAAGAGGGAATACACGGATCTGGCCAGGTCTGATTCCGGCAGATTTCCCAAGTCGGCAAAGGGGCTTCACCATCATCGAGACCGAACGAACACATTCTTGGTTTACGGAACAGACGGACGCGGGGAAGGTCGCCGCCCAGGAGAATCTTGTCGGCGGCTTCGTGGCCTCACCGGCCGGCGATGATAATGGTGACCAGTGGCTGGCTGGAACACACCGCAACCAGCTGCTCGTCGATCGGCGAGTTTGATTACGTGAAACTGTTGAATATAGCGGAGCCAGAGGTGACGAGCGCTGAAATCCCGGTGATCACCGACTCGAAGGCGCGCGCGCCAGTTACGACCCTCCATTAAGGCCAGGTGGCGTGATCCTAACTAAGGTGAGCCCGCTCTTCAGCGAGGTGTCTGCGGCTTATGACAGAACACTGAACGTAGAATAGATGTCGTAGATGAGTACATACGATCCTAATACCCCATGAGGGGTCATGGTTGCATCGCTGCGCTGAACGATGACAAACGCTTGCGATGATCGAAGGTGCCACTCGTGAGATTGTCTGAGGAATGACTGACCCAGCTGGGGCAAGTCATCCGGCGAGCGGAGATCTCCTTCGTTTGCGAGCGTCTCGAACAGCTGAGCCTTGGGACTCTCGCGCGAACACGCCGCGAAAAGAGCCCCGCCTCTGCCGCGAACACCCGGCGGCAACAGGAGGAAGTTCTGCCGAACGTCGGATGGCGCGCAGCGGAAGTCGAGCCACCCGCGGCGCCCCCCCCCCCCCCCCCCAAACGGACGCGGAGCTGGACTCCGCGCCAGTCGCCGCGAGCCGCGCGGAGAGCCCCGCCCCGAAGAGGCAAAGGAGGGAAAGCCATGTTGCATGATCCGAGAGTACGGGCTGGACAAGGAGATGAGGCACCTCCTCCTCCTCCTCCTCCTCCTCCTCTTCCTCCTCCTCCTCTTCCTCCTCCTCCTCCCCCTCCTCCTCCCCCTCCTCCTCCTCCTCCTCCTCCTCCTCCTTCGGATCGGATGTCTTGGGCTGCCACGCACGGGCCGCGGCGCTCGCGGCCCTCATGAGGGGCGGGAAAGGTTGGCCCCACCGCTGCCGCGCATCTCGCGCGGGCCCCAGGGTTCGAGCAGCGCGAGCCAGTGGTTTTTCGTTCCCTTTTTATGAAGAAGGTCGGCAAAACTGGCAAGAGGTTCCAAAAGCATGCGAGGGCTGTCCTGGTCGGTACTGATAGAGCGTAAGAGATGACTTCGCGGTGTCCAGAACTTTGTTCCCTGATTGACACGTTTCCGACTGCCCCAGACTTTGGCCCCCTGGACGTTTCTGATTGGGACCGTGCCGATCCCGGGTGGGCAGGGAAATTGGACCTTGTTAGTGATGACTGGGTAGCATGGCCCCCCGATAAAGAAGTCCATCTGGTTTGCGTTTAAAAAATTGACTTGGCTCGTAGAGCACAGCCCGAGAAAAGCCGACATTCGCCGCGGCTCGCAAAGGGCCGGGACAGCGCCTCCAAGTTCACAAAATCGCGCAGTAAGAATAATGAGCTGGAGAAGATGTGGGAAGATGCCGAACCGAACAAGGCTGCGATTCGCAGTTAGGTGCAAATTTCTGATTACGAGAGCGCGACGTTGACCCCCGACCACTGGCCAGCGACCCCTCGGTTTTCAAGAGAGAGAGAGAGAGAGAGCAGGGTTCCCACTCCAAAGAAGTACACAATTGACGAGGAGGCTGCGGCTGAAGCAATCGATGGACTTGCACAGTCCGCCCGCAAGTTCCTGATCCCCGACCGCGACTGCAGCGCATAGGAATCTCGCCGATACAACCAGGAGATCTGGAACGATCGACCGACCGTTGACAGACGAAACGGCTCGGAATCCACCGAGCGAAAAAGAGCGCGCGCCATGGCACCCAGGCGATCAGGGATGGTTTCCAAGAGAAAACTTCCCGTCGTGATGGGCGCGCCCTGACGATGTGCTGACTCCGCGGCCGCGCATCGACAGAGAGATAGACCGCGCGCTCCGCCATTGCGTTGCAAACGGAGATCAGGAGCGCCACGGTAAAATGTGCATAGGCGCATGCGTCATGGAGGTGGCCTCCCAAATGGACCCATTCTGCACATCCCCTACTGAGGGGGCCCAACGATGGCACGATCCAGCCCGTTGGATTTGCTGCGAGAGGAGGAGGAGTCCTTGACATCCACGGAAGGGATGCGGACTTCGATGACGCCGATCGATTCGCGGAGTCGCGAGACAGAACGGATTGAGCAATCGAGAAGCACGGCACGCGTCTTACCGCGGCTCTTGAGCATGCCGCCGCCGCGTCGACTCCCTTCGAGTCTGCTTCACCTCCGCCCCCCCCCGCCAGGCTCGGGCACGGGCGGAGCTCTGTCGGTCCTCGGCCAGGCCCGGATTCCAGGCGCGACGGGGGGGGCAAGGGATCGCGAGCACGGCGACACTGAAGATGCCTCTGCTGGAAAGCACCCGCCCCGAAGAAAGGGGTGGGGACGCAGTGGAAACAACGAGGGAGGCAAAGGAGTTTGGATTTTTTCCCGGCGCAGCAATCGCTGGGACAGCGATACCAGCGAGAGCCGTGAGAGAGGACGAGGAATGGTGGGGTAGAGCCACCGAAGCTAGAAGTGCCGGCGGCGACGATTGGAGCTCGGGCAGCAGGGTCAGACATCACGAATCTGGAGGAGAAAAACACACAGACACAATTAATCGTCGATTCCTATGAAAATATGGGGAAATATGGGAAGTGGGGGAGATGACAAAAACCCAGAAAATGTGGGAAAATATAGGGAATCGATTTATTGTTGTGTGTTTATTTGTGCGTCCTGGGGCCCCTTCAACGAAGCTGGCAGCGCCAGCGGTGGCAACCGGGACTCGAGGAGTGGATGGCACGACCAAGAAAGAAAGACGAGTTTGGTAAGTTGCCGTGGACGCACGACTCCGAGAAAAAATACGATAAGAAGGACAAGACTCGGGCCGGACGAAAGAGGGGGATTGGAAATGGGGGGGTTACGAAATTTGCTACATGCAGCTGGTTTCGGCCTCACCGAGGGGCCCATTCCTCGATACATAGCCGCCTCCGGCGCCGGGAGGCGCCGGGAAAATCAGCTACGTGAGCTGATTCTCAAACCCCCCCTTTGCTATCCCCCCCTTTCGCCCGGCCCGACAGACAGAAGGCTGGTGGGAAAGGTGATCGAGGTCGTCGCGAGCTCCAGGACGACACAGTCGGCTGAGCGATCCGCACTGGGCACCCCGCGGGCCTGGCGAATCAAGCAGGGGCCCGCCAAGCGACCGTGCCTGCGCCGCTGAAGCGGGATTTGGCCCTACGTGGATGGCGAGCGCTGTAAAACGCTTTCGGGGCTGGCGCTCCCTGACGCGGTGCGCAAAAGGCCGGCAAGCGGAGGTGCGGGTGGTCTGGTGCCCAACGCAGTTCGATTCCGTTCGTTCTTGCCTTCTGTTGCCGTTCATGCGCGCACTGCCGGACGCGCGTGGCTCAAGATCTATGTAGAGCGCAGTTGGCACGTCGTAGAAGGTAGCAAAGGGGCGGCGCGCGAATATTCACGTTAAGGATCCCCAGAGCTAGAGGGGATGAGAAACATACGTTACATGCGTCAGGTTATCTTGATCATCTTAACAAAAACATAGTTCGAGGCGCCCTCACATTTGCTTCACAGGTGCTCTGTAGCCCTTCATCCGCTGCTAGAACATAGTTGCAACACGGATACCTGAGCTTGCTCATAACCACCAGACGACCACACGGCGGTTGGTTCGATCGAAAATACATCGCAGCAGACCCACCTCCACCCCATACGCACCTCGCAACTGCCAACCATGTGAGCGGCGGAAGGAGGCGTGGTCGTATTCATCGACAGTGACACGGAAGCTGCTCGCGTCAGGTCGCGCGCGAGCCCTCTCGTCTCCAACGTTGCATGCCGCATTGGCGGCCCGCGTGAGCCATCGCGTCGGGTCGCTATGTCATCTCGCGTAAGCCCCGTTTCTTTCCGTTGCTCCCGCGTACTCCTGTTCAGGCACAGCGGGCGCCACGAGCTCGAGGTCCGCCCAGCGCCCGGCCAAGGCCAACAAGATGGGCCCCGCGCACAAGTTCGGCGAGCCCAACGGGAAGAGGCCCTGGACCACGACCGAATGGTTGGACACCCCCGTCGGCGCCCAGAAGCAGGATCGGCGAAGCGTAAGACCCGAGTTCGCTGAAACTCGGGTTCGCCGACGCTTTTGGACGAGCCCGCCTTGGATTTTGACGGTCCAGTTTTCGCGGGACGCTTGCAGCGGCCACGATTTTTCTTCTAAGGGCAAGCGAAGGTATTCCTTCACAACTGGATCAAGGGCGCTCCACAGGAAAAGAACGCTTGCAGCGGGAGCTCGCGTCGAGCTTCAGAGCGGATCTCGTAACTTTCGTGACGCCCCCGTCAGGCCAACGCGAGTCCCCCGAACCCGAGTACTCCAGATTTCGTAATAAAGGGAGGGGGGTCTCATTTCGGGGGGGGTCTCTTCCAGGCTATCTTGGAGGGCCTGGGGGGGTCTGGGGACGATGTTTTGGAGGGTTCTCCCACGGGGGGGGGTCTGAAATGGCTTGTCTTGGAGGGTTGAGACCCCCTCCCTTTTACTACGAAATCTGGAGTGCCTTGAGTTCCGACGTCGCGACAAAAAATCGCAGCATCGTAAAAATCACGCCCAGAGTCCCAGACCCCATCTTTCTGCGTCATTGCTCGCGCCGGATCGATCCGTGAGGGTCCCGGGGCCCGCCCTGGAGCGAACACGCCCACTGTGAAGAACATGCCTCAGGAGAGGAAAAAACACACAGACACAATGAATCCTGGATTCCCCAGCAAATATGGGAAAATATGGGAATTGGGCGGGAAGACAAAAAACCCAGAAAAGATGGGAAAATATGGGGAATCCTTTTATTTGTGTGTCTTTATTTGTGTGTCCTTGGGCCCCTTGACATGCGACGCCAGGACCTCGGGGCATCACGCCTCCCCGACAGGAGAAGGAGCAGAAGCTCACGCGGCCCGTGCTGCCCGACCTCGGCCTCCGGGACCTCGAGCAGCTGGCGCACGCCCGGGCGCTCGCGTGCCCGCACTGCGGCTGCGGCGGCCCCCGCCGGCAGGCCTCCGCAGGCCAGGAAGGCACCAACTATACCCCAACACCGATCCTAGCCAGGATCACCTGGGCCCAGGATCGGTGTGTACGCCCTCCTGCCTTGGGCAAGAAGGCATATACACACCGATCCTGGGCCCAGGGTGATCCTGGGCCAGGATCGGCGTTGGTGTATAGTTGGTGCCCTCCGACAGGCAGGCAGGAGCTGAGCCCCGGCAGGCGCGGGGGCGCGGCCCCGCCCTCGTGCCGCAGCTCCGCGGCCTGGTGGAAGGGCTCCGAGGCGGAGGAGCCCCCGCTGTTCCCCGGGAGGGCCCCGTCGCGGGAGCAACCCTTTGGGTGCGGGCACGTTCTCCCGGACTTTCCTCGCGCTGGGAACAAGATCACGGCGGGAGGCTGTCTCGCCATTTCCGGCCTCTGGGGGCCCTTGCCAGGCCGCGGGAGCGTCCAAAGCCGGCTCGGGGTGCAAAGCCGGTCCCCGGGAAGGGATCCAGACCTCTGGGGGTCGAAGTTGTGCCAAAACATCGACGTCGGGGGTCTGGGTAGGAGTGACCTTTCGCCAGAGTGACTGTTGGTGCGGGCACACTCGGGTCCCCAGATGGCTGCACACGATGCGACAGCAGCGGCCTGCGCGCTCCCCAGACCCCCGACGTCATGATTTCTTCATGACGTCGACCCCTGGAGGTCTCGACCCATTCCCCAGGACCGAGTTCTCGTCCTGCGTCGTTTTGTGGACGGCCCCGAGGCCCGGCGAGAGCCTCCAGAGGCCGAAAACAGCGAAAAATGTCGCGTCGTGAGCTTTGTCATTACACTCGGCCTTGATTAGTGGGTCGACCCTGCCAAGTCAAGGGTAACTTCGTGTCCTGTCTTCGACTACACGTAAGAGTGACCCTTCGCCGGAGTGACCTTTGGTGCGGGCCCATTGGGGTCCCCGATCGCCGAACGCGAGGCGGCAGTGGCGTCTTGCGCGCTTGTGTTTGGCCCCCCCGCGGCCCCCAAAAAGCCGCGCACCAAAGGTCACTCTTACCCAGGGTCACTCTTGCGCGTAGCCGATGTCTTTAGAGACCCGTGCCTTTTGCATTCCTATGGCAGTGTAGCCGTCGGAAGGGCCTCGTGTCCTCTCCAATCAAGTCCCACTGTACGCGAGGGTCGGGCCGGACGAAAGGGGGGGATTGGGAAAGGGGGGGGGTACGAAATTTGCTGCATGCAGCTGGTTTCGGCCTCACCGAGGGGCCCCTTCCTCGATACATGGCCGCCTCCGGCGCTGGGAGGCGCCAGGAAAATCGGCTACGTGAGCTGATTCTCAAACCCCCCTTTGCTATCCCCCCCTTTCGCCCGACCCGAGAGGGGGCCTGGGTCCGCTTCGGCCTCCCCGCGGCCCCCCCCCCCGAGGGTCGCGCACCCGAGGCCACGGCTTGCCCGAGGGCACCCCTCTAGCGCGCGCAGCCCCGGCAGGAGGAGCTCCTCGAGGCCGGCAGCCTGCCGCGCGAGGGCTCGCACCAGAGCTTCAAGAAGGATCGCACACAGAAGACGACGACGACGACGACGACGACGACGACGACGACGACGACGACGACGACGGGGACGACGGCGGCGGCAACGGCGACGACGACGACGACGACAACGACGACGACGACGACGACGACGACGACGACGACGACGACGACGACGACGACGACGACGACGGCGACGACGACGACGACGGCGACGACGACGGCGGCGGCGGCGACGACGACGACGACAGAAAAAGGCCTCTGGCGGGGCCCTGCTCGAGCCGCTCGCGGCACCCGACAGGGCGCGACCCCGCAGCCAGACCGGGAGCAGCGGGGCCACAGAGGGGGCCCGCCGCTGCCGCCTCGGCGGGCGGCCCTCCCGATCCCGCGGGCGAGGCGGCCCTTCGGCAACGCGCAGAGGGGGGTAGGGGGAGGGGGGAAGGCTTCTTAGAGGCACCCCTGGTTCTTAGAAGGCGCGGGCCTTCTCTATAGACGTAAGGCCGAGGCCTTCTAAGAAGCAGGGTGCTTCTAAGAAGCCTTCCCCCCTCCCCCTACCCCCTTTTGCGCGCCGCCAAGCCCTGGAAGCGGGGGGACCGAAATGAGTACGGATCGACTGGACGTGAGAGTGACCTTTCGCCGGAGTGACCTTTGGTGCGGGCCAAATGGGGTTCCCCGATCGCCGAACGCGAGGCGGCAGTAGCGTCTTGCACGCTTCTGTGTGGCCCCCTCGCGGCCCCCCAAAAGCCGCGCACCAAAGGTCACTCTTACCCAGGGTCACTCTTGCGTGTAGCCGAACGGAAACGACGGGCGCAATGTCCAACCACAGTTCTTGCTCATCCTGACCAGGCTTCGCTGTCGGCGTCGCCGCGGCCGCTGACCATCGGGGACAGCAGCTCGCCTGCCAAGCAGCGGCCGCGGACGGTGTGTGGGGGGGGCAACATATGTTGCTGGGCATCGTAGTTTTTCTCTTTTGTCCCGCACCCGTGCCTGGCGCCCAAGAGCTGCCCCGATGGTCCCGAGGCGCCGGATGCCCAGGGCGCCCCCGTGAGCCGCAGGGCGGCCTCCCCCGCCCACGGCAGGCCCAGGCCCCCCGCGCCGCGGCCGGCTCCGACCTCCCGGGCGCGGCCAGCCCCCGCGGTGGGCGGGCAGGGTCCACCGCGCTGGTCGGGGGCAGCGTCGGGGGGGGGTGAGATGCCCCTGAAGTCCTGGCGTCGTATTTTCTTTCACGCTGGGCGCTTTCGCTCAGCTCTGCAGGTGCGAACTGGCTTGCCAATGTGGCGGCTGTGTTCGCAGATTCGCATCGTGCCGCATCCCGGACGCCGCTTCCGCTCCCTGACCGCTGCCTCGGAGCCGCCGACCAAAAAAACAAGTTGTCGCTCGGCTCCGGGCCCTGGGACCCCAGCAGATCGAGGCGGCTCGCAAAAGGAGGCAGCAAGAGACGGGGTCCAGGGTATCGGTCGCGACTTCCCGCGAGGCTGCATGTTCCGTGCCATGCTGGATCTCAGGGTAGGCTCCGGCGGGGAGGCATCGGCCCCCAAGCGCCCCCTCGTCGCAGATCGGGGCCCGGCAGCCCGCCCCGCCCAGGAGCGCGCCGTGTCGCCATCGGGGGCCCTACCGTCGGGGCCCCGAAGAAGGAACCCTTGTCGTTGGGGAGGGGCTCCGTGTTCCTTATTTGTTTCGCAGCTTGCCTTGGATTTCCCTTAGGTTTTCGATACGACATCGAAGTTCAACTTATAGAAGATAGGGGCCTCGTTCCTTATTTAGGGTTCCTTAGGTCAACGCTTCGACTGTATCGCTGATCTATCGGCGATGGGCGATGCACTCCGATCCTGGGTTGATGTTCTCCCTCTGAGTTGGTATACACCCCCCACGTGGCCCCCCAGTAGGGGCAGGTCGGGCGGGGGGGGGGGGGAAGAGACCAGGGCCGGCGGGAGAGTCGGTCTGGCTTCGGGCGGGGGGGGCACGCCCCCGTGCGAGGGCCGGCGAAGGACGCCACGCCCTCGAGGGGGTGGGGGCGGAGGCAGGGATTTCGAGAGGGCTGTGAACATTTTTCATAGAAGGGATCGGATGCCTCGAAAAGAAGACTTCTTCGAGGACCCCGAGGGATTCTACGAAGCCCCAGGCCTTCTTAGAAGCAGCTTGGGGCCGGGGAGGGTCCGGCACCGAAAATCCAAGAAGTTCGCGAAGAGCTCTCGAGCTCTGTGCTTCTGCCGCCTTCCCCCCCCCCAGCCTGCGGTGCCGGGCCCTCGTGCCGAGTCTGCAGCGCCGCGCTCCACTCCTCCTCCCGCTGGCCCCCTGCCCGCTCCTCCCTCCTCCCGCTGGTGTCTCTCGGACTCACCAGTTGGCTCCCTCCTCTCCTCTGCACCCGCGCGCCGCGCAGCTGCCTGCGCGGGCGCGGCGCGATCGAGCCCGCCCGCCCGGCCCTGAAGGGGTGCGCGGCGGCACCTTTTTCCGAGGTGAGTGCCGAAGGAAAGCAAACGATCATCTCGGTGAGGGAGGATGGGGGCCAACCGCCCCTGCCTCTGCCTGCGCGTGCCCCATCACGGCACACCCCCATCACACGCTCCGTGGCCCCACAGGGCGACACTCACGACTGCGCTACTCACAGATGTAATACACATTATATATATATATATATATATACACATATATATATATATATATATACACACAAGATTTTGAAGGCTCGTTCCGCTTCGCCTTAAATCTTGGCCCATGGAATGTTTGAGAGCATGTGTTTGTGAGGGGTGGGGAAGCCCATGGATCCGAGGAAGTCTGGGAGCCCCCCCCATCGGCTTCTCTCGGAACATCGCCTTGGCCCGGCATTGCCTCCCATTCCGGGGCGCTCCTCGAGCGCGGGCATGCGCGGGGCGAGGGAAGGGAGCGTGGAGAGTCGTGGAAGAGCTGTTAGGATAAAGGAGAGAATAATAATGCAATGGGGATACCAACATCATCATGCGGGTACATTCATTGGTTGTCCCTCGCTCGAGCGCGAAGCTGGAGGTGCCGGCGAGCCCAGTAGCTCAAGGGCCGTGTAAACCATAGTGGTCACAGAGCACGCCGTGGATAGAGAGAGAGAGAGAGCGGGAAGAGGATGGAAGGCTGGATGATGCCGTGGCCCCGCAGGGAGCGAGAGAGATGAAGGGTTGAGTCGTGTCTTTTGTTTGTGTGGCAGTGCGTTGGAGAAGTCGCCTTACTCACGCCGCCCGCTTGCGGTCCCTGGCGGCAACCGCGCCCCAAACGTGCGGCAGGAGGACCTGCCGATGCCAGTCCCGGTGGGCCGCGCGCATCTCTTCCAGCCACGAGTCAGTCGTCTCTGTTTTCCTCGGGCGTGTGCCATAAACGAACGTGCGCACTTCGCAAACTGCGTATTGCGATTCGTGAAAATCCATGGCGTGGAAGCCGAGCAAGTCGTTCACTTTTGAATGCAACGACATGCTCTCTTGCCTGGATGTCAACAGCTGGATCAACGCGTGGCCGAGTTCCCGCTCGCTTTTGGAAACGTTCGTGGCAACGGTGGCCCGTCAGCCCCCACGGGCTCTCTGTCTGCCAAGGAGGTGTAAATCGAGAAAGCGTCTGGGCACAACTTCCGCAAGAAATAAAAATCCCCATCTCCAACATGTTCAATGAAAGAAATGTCTGATATGATCGATTGATCCCAATTGCGCGCCCCGAGCGAGGTCCGAAAGAAACGCATGTGTACCAGCTGTGCCTGATAAGGCAGCCACTGCGCGTGCGTGGCAAGGAGTGCTTTTGTCGTTTGAACCAGCAGAACGGGGCTCTTGTTGAGCTGGGCACTGTGCTCTCGTAGGGTTCCTGCAATGTGGTGCATGCGCACAGCAACTCTGCGGGGTTTTGTCTTGGATCCGTCTGGTACGAGGTTGGAGTCGTCGTCGCCTTCTGTGAAACTCGGGATGTGGTACCCGGCATCTGGTTGTCGGCCACATAGGTCTTCGCAAATAACCCATGCGTCGTAGAACCGACGGACGTCGCAAGATTCCACCGAAAGTAGCGTCGGCAATTTCTCGTCCTTAACCATCGTGCTGCGCTGGTCCAAGAGCCGTTTCTGGGGTTTCGCCCGGGCGGCGGCGTCACCCAGGAGCTGCGCCCGGGACGTCTTCTGATGAAAGAGCCAATTGCACACGGCCAGCGCAGTGATCACGTGGTGTCCTTCGTTTAAGTAGGTTGTGGACACGATGACAGAGAGTGCCAAATTGACCAAGGGTTGCGTTTTGTTGGACATCATGAGATAATGTTTGGTGGCGTTCGAAGTGTCTAGAATGGGGTGGAAATGTTTGAGCTTCCGTTTGCCGAAGTCGTGGTTCACCTGAGGGGCAAGCTTGTCCGTGAGTTTTCCAAGGTTGAACGCGGCTGGGAGGGTTTTGACGGGAACCCAGTGGTGCATGCCCCGACCACCTGTTCTGCGCTTTTGGATTGCATTCACGAAAGCGTCGCGATCATGTTTTTTTTTGCACGCACAGCTACCATCCAAAAAGCATATGGGGACATGAGACAAATCGTGGAATGTAGCGTAGCTCATGCAGTTACGACATGGAAGCATGAGGTGCCAACGCGCGAGGACATCTTTGTCACAAGCAATGCCGAGTACGCCTTCCGAAGAAGCCGTTCTGATAGACTTCTGTTCACTGGGTGACAACATGTTGCCAGTGGATGCGTTCGCCGCCCCGTCGGGCCAGAAGCGCGCGGATGGGGGATGCGAAAGGGAAGCGAGCAGAGGAGGGGCGCGGAGGCCTGGAGGAGGGAGGGGGCGGACAACTGAGCAGAGGATGGCGATGATACAGGAAGGCAGAGAGGGAGGAAGGGAGAGGGCGATGGAGCAGGGAGAGTAGCACGAGGGCGGAGGGGCAGGAAAGCGGAGAGAGAACACATGCAGAAGGATAATGACGAGGGGGGGAAGACCAAGAAGCGGAAGAGGTGGAGGCATCGGGAGAAGGTGGACGACCCTGGAATTCGGAGAAGCAATGGCAAGGGCTGATCAGGAAGAGCTGGAAGAAGAAACGAGG